TAGCCCAGGCTGCAGTATTGTCAGTTACTGTTCACACAGGAGTTTCATTAAAAATAGACTGCATTCTTTTCCAATATATGTGGAGCACAATTCACATCATGATATTCACAGCATATTCTGGTGAAAAAATATCATGATATGATATATATTCATAATGAAAAAATATTAAAAAGAGTTCTGCTGAGCTGTGGTGTTGGTGAGGTGGTTCAGTGGTTAGAGCACTTCCACACAAGCCTGATGACCTGAGCTTGGTCCCTGGAACCCTTGGTGGATGCATGGAACAGACTCCTAAAGAAACTTGCCTTTTGACTCTAAAGCCATAGTGTGGCATGATGAAGGGCAACAAAGACAGCTACCTTTTTTAATGAGCGTGTGAATGAGTGTGTGTACACACATGCATATGTGCTTAGATATTATGTGCATGGACATCAGAGGACTACTTGCCAGAGTCGGTTCTTTCCTTCTATGTGTGTTCAGGGATCAAATTCGGGTCATCAGGCTTGGCAGCGAGTCTCTTTACCCATCGAGGCATCTTGCCAGCCTGGAGCTCAGAGTTCTGACATGCACATGACAGACACTATTCTGTGAATAGCACATTGGCTCTGTGAGGGGAGGTTATGGAGTGGAGAGGTGAACCTCTGGATCAGAGAAAACCGGGGGCGGGGTGGGGTGTTTCTGCTCAAGTTCCCCTGTCACTGAGGTGACACTTGTGAGGTATTAGTTCAGTGCCTGTGGGGTGGTCATATGGTCCATGTCACTGTCAGAACTGTTGAGACCTCAGATGAATGGTTCTCACTTCAATGTGGGCAGGAAAAAAAAAAGTCTGCCGCTCCACTGTGTCTGCACCCCTGAGGATTCTTGCCTTTCGCCTGTATTCAGCCAGTCAGAGCCAGAGTCTACAGAGTTGTGAAACACTTGTGTCAGGCCAGTCATGTGATTTACAGTTCTGTCTCATTTTAAACCTTCAAGCACATAATCCATAATAGCTGAGCTTTGGATCGTATCAGGCTATAAAGTATACAGTTCCTGAGAACGCCTCATGGCTGTCCTAGAACACTGAAGAATTCTTTGTGATCTCAACCTCAGTTGCTTAGGTGTCCTCTCCCCTCCCCAACCCCCATGCCTGTCTCTGTGGTTGTGCAGCCAGATTGCCCCACTGAGTGGAGACCAGGACGGCAGCCCAACTCTTTCTTGGGCTCAGCAGGAACTGCTGCACACAGAGCAACCTTTCTCTGTGGAGGTTCACAAAGTCAGTACAAGATCAGTCTGGATATTTCTTTCCTTTTTTATCAAGAAGTTCTGCCAAATACTATCAAAGAAAATATACAAAGTCTGAAGTCCAATGGGTCATCTGGCCCAGCAGCTAAGAGCACTTTTGTTCTTGCTGAGAACCAGTTGGTCTCCAGCACCCACATGGCAGCTCACAATCAACTCCCTCTTCAACGCCCTCTTCTGGTTCCTACAGGAACTGCACACATGTGATACATAGACATATTCAGGCAACACACATAAAATTAAAATAAATCTTTAAAAAAATCGAGTGGAATCAAGAAGGAAGCCCTCCCACTTTAATTTTTTTTCTACATTTAACTGGACACGGTTGATGCCAGAGTTGATTCTAACTTCAGACTCTGTTGTGCAATCTTGCTCAGTCTCCGATGAGACCTTTATGTAATGAAAATTCCTTTGCAAATGGTTGTCCAATGATTGACACTTATTCCAAAATTCCATGATGGCATCCGCTTAATCCTTTATTCTAATGAAGGGCTTTTAATTAAAAGCAAGTGTTTTCAAAGGGCACCGAGACTGAAGTGGTGCAGTAGGTTAATGATGAGTTGGCAGTCTGACGGTGGAGGTCAGAGTAAGCTGTGGAAGGCAGAGCAAGTCGAAAGCAGTCTACAGAATGCAGGCGAACTGCCTTATATAGGACAGAAATGCAGCTGGCATTCCAAAGAGGAAGTGCGTGTGTGGCTTTGTTGCTGCTGTGCCTCCTAGTGAGCTGTCCTATCCCTCTTGTCATGTCAAACACAGCCAACATTTAACACTGCTGTGCAACAATGTATTCCTGTTTACTTCTGCATAGTGAATGCACAATGTGTGGGTAAGCACAACATGTAAGTGATGAACCAAGCCCCAGTATTAATCCTTAGTTATATTTAGCAACATAAATCCTTCAAGTTACATGGACTAGTGACTCATATTAGTTTTGCTCCCACTTAAATGGCGATGAGGACATTATTTCATAAGTCGGAGGTCTCTGCAGTGTCATCAATTCACATTGAAGATGAGAAAGCTTAGGCTAAGAAAGGTGAAATCATTTGCCCTTGTGTTACAAAGAAAACAAACTATTGAATCATCCATCATTCAGGCTCAGGTCTTCTGACCACACAGCGCTGCTCTTTGTACTAACTCTGAACCCGGGAGTCAAACTGAAGTCCAGAGGCTGCTCCTGATGGATGGGAGAGCTGGAGATAGTAGAAGATAAAGATAAACAAACTGGCTTATCTGGACAGGGCCTCAGCTCATTAGGAAGAAGGATGAGGAGGAAGGGGCAAGAGGGTTGGAATGGCACAGTCAGACAGTCACGGGGAGAGAACGGAGATGCCAAGGCGATGCCAGACGTCTGCAGGACTCATTCGTCGTCGAATTTGAAAAATAAAAAGATCTCTTCAGGCAGAAGCAAAGCGTTTAGATATAAAAGAAACACAGAGAAAAAGCCTTTGTGTATTATTAATGTTTGTGATGGACTCTGCAGGGGCAGAGGGAAGCCCGACTCTGACAGAGGAAGATGAGAACTTCCAGAGCATTCCAGTACTGCTCTGGAGATGGAGCTCTCTTCTTCCCATCCAGAAGCATTTAGTGAAAAGAGGGAGGAGAAAAAAATGATAATTGACGAGGGATTTGTCATGCCCTATTTATAACCCGAGGAAGAAAGTGAAATTCAATGAGTGCGGGCTGATTTATCATACAAAGGCTAGTATGGTGTTAGCAATGCAAACAGAGGCTCATGAGGGCACTCAGGCCCCAGGGCTTACCCTAAAGCCATGTTTCAAAAACTGTCCTTCTATGATAGTCGCACATAACGTTTATCAAATGATAAGGACACTAATAATAGCAATTTTCTTTGTCCTCAGGTTGCCACTCAATATCTACATTTCTAAGATTAACCGCTGTCCATTGACTTTTGTACTTAGCGGTCATTTGGGGATAAAGCCTTGAGCTCAGACCTTTGTTACAACCGTGGGAAATGTGATAATCACCAGGTAATAATTATTTTTGAGGGAAAAGAAATGATAGGTTATGAAGATCATATGTATGAATAGTATATTTATAAGGGTAGTGGTAGGAAATATTTAAAAGAGTAGACAGGGGCTAGAGAGAAGGCTCAGTGGGTAAAGGGCTTTCGGATTGAGCTTAAGGACCAGAGTTTGGATGTCCAGCATCCATGTAGATGCTGGTGGGCATGGTGACTTGCCTGAATCCCAGCCTCAAAATGTGGAGCCTGGGCAACCTGCCTAGATAGACTTGCCGAGTTTTGGGGTTGTGATGAGACTTCTATGTTAACATGTGAGGTGAGACATAACAGAGGAGACACCCAGTGTCACTCTCTGGCTTCTACATGCATGTGTGTGTGCATATGTATGCACACAAACACACTCTTAAGGCCCACATCCCATATGCTTGAATACCACACACAGGAACAAATACAGACATTAAAAGTACACATTTAATTTATAAGGAATATCCCCTTTTAAGGACATGCATCTTTTTCTCTAGCAATAATCATATTTTGAAAATAGTTGTTTCACCAGTTTTAAACTATCAGTTTCTTCAACTGATACATGATCCTTGGATCTAACTTAACTTTAGAAAACCCTAATAAACCGGGCTGTGGTGGCGCAGGCCTTTAATCCCAGCACTTGGGAGGCAGAGGCAGGTGGATTTCTGAGTTCGAGGCTAGCCTGGTCTACAGAGTGAGTTCCAGGACAGCCAGGGCTACACAGAGAAACCCTGTCTCGAAAAACCAAAAAAAAAAAAAAAAAAGAAAACCCTAATAAAAAAAAAAACTATTCGGCTGTGGTAGAGACGTAAGCATTGTAGGACTTGAAGTCAAGGTGGCCTTGGGAACCCTTAGGTGACTTGTGATGGGAACATCCTCTGTCCGGCTCATCTGGAGCACCTGTCTTCCGTCTCCCCCACCACCACACTTGGTTTCTTGTTTTAATTTTACTCCTCTGCCTCCTGCAGTGGAGACAGCAGGAATTTTTCCTCAAGAGATTTTAATTTTTAACATTTGAGGAAAGAAAACTTGCTTCTGTGTTCTCTGATTACATATTTACGTTTTAAAAACATTCCACTTCTTTCTCCAGCCTGGTTCCAACTTAGGACTGATCTGACCATCTGGGAGTTTGATAAAGCGATGGTCGGGATGTTGGGTGTGTTAGGATGTCAGCTTTTCAGAACTGATTTTCATAAGGATTATGATATCTTATCCTCATCCAGAAGAAAAGCTTGCCATTGAACGTTCCATCGAGTCCATTGCGTGTGTGGTACTGTCGAGTGGCTCATGTCTGTGGTGGTTATACAGAGGCTGGATTATAACCTTTAGAAAGGGGGCAGTTAAAGTATGGCACAGGAGAGGAAGGGCCACAGATACCTCCTGATCTCTGATTACAAAAGTTGTAAAGCTACCATATAGACTTCTAGCTGAGTTGTTTTTAGAAGAATAGGAGGAAAGAAAATAAGTTTGGAAAATTAAAAAGTAAAATACTTTATGCTCAAAGAGGAATAGGCAAGTCAATGGTAATTTGGAGGTGGGGCAGCCGAGCATTCAGCCAAACGTCTGAGATTTCGCTGAGCGAGGGGTCCCGTGTGACTGAGCAGGTCAGTCATTCACACCTTTGTAAAGCCTATCGAAGTCAAACCTTTAGACAACAATGAAGAGGAAAAGGAGTAATCTAGCGCAGGTGAAATTCCCTCTCCACCGACCCTGCTCTTACCTGTGGACTCAGGTGTGAGCCTCTCTCCAGGGGGCGCTGTTGTGTCAGAAGAGACACTGGCACCAGCCTGAGTGCCTGTGAAGGGGCCACGAGGAGAACAGTCCAGCAGGGATGAGAGGGGGTGAAGAGAGGGGCTTTCAGTCCTGACATGGGAGTAGAAGCTGGAATAGAGGCAATGCCTTCTTAAATGACTTGGGGAGGGCTAACATGGGGAGGGATGGCGTGGGAACCTCCAACTTCCCACTAGTGTACTGCAGTTCCTTAGCTTCTCTGACTCTCACTTTTGACCACAGTAGATAGTGGTAAACATCTTGTAAGGTTATTGTATGGTCGAAGGGAGACAACACAGTGCCTTGTGGCTAGTACCCAGCATCGTTTATGGTCTAAGTGAGTAGACACGATGAAGATGGGTGGGAAAGACTCCGGTGTCAGGGGAGGAGGAAGGGAGAATCTTCCATCTTGCAGCGCCTTGGAAGAGCTGGCCGCCTCTCTGAGACCTCTCTAAGCTGCCGGGTGCTTTGGGGCTGTTGCCAATGTTGCAATGCATCTTTCCCCCAGACAGGGCAAGGGGGAAGTCAGTTCACAGTGGAGTTCAGTCTCAGCATTGAAAACAGGCCAGCTTGCACCCACACTGTGGAGCCGAGGGAGAGCAGCTGTGGGCAGACAGTGGAGTCCTCACTGTGGGGTCGCTGGGCTGCAGAGTGCTTACAAATGTACAGTGTTTGTTCTGAGATCTTGTAATCTGTCTCGCTTACCCGGCGACATTTCCATGACATGCAGAGAATGCAGCCGAAGCCATCTCCTGTGGTTTCCTCACTCCGCTTTGATTTATTATTTGTTGTTTACAGTATTATCTCCAGTAACAACCATGGAATTTCCTTCCCCACTAATCTGGTCTATTTCCATCTTGCCTATTTATTTTCAATTTCCTTTTTCTTGGCTTGAAACTTCTCGATGGCTCTGCCTTGTTTATTTCCTCGCCTGTGTCAGCGTCCTTCGTCAGCGTGCCCCCTCAGGAACTCTGTCCATTCTTACTGTGGAGGTTGCATTGCCTGATTCTTATGTGAGTAGGTTATGTGCTCCATGTTTCTCACTACTGTGTGATGGCCTGGGCTGTCCCTCATGGCTGCTCTAGGCAAGCAGTCAGACTTGCTGACTGTGGGCTTCCAGATGGAGCACACGAGGCCCAAAGAGAAAACTTCCTCTGTGGAGACTTGTCTCAGTTTCTCTGATGTCACCCCATCCTACTCAATTGATTTCATCTTCTATTTACTCTTATTGGCAGCTGGTCACATGAGCATAAGGCCTGTCTTTGCAGATATGCTCAATTCCCTGAAGCCGGAGCCACGAAAACCAGTATTGTTAATTAATGATCAATTCTATCTTGCAATGTTAGCCACTTGGAATACATGCTGAATCTAGACTTGTTCCTTTATTATGAAGAACTTAGCCTACCAAGCCAATGAGGTTTAAGGAGGAGATAACTTGACTTTATTACTTGTTATATGAGTTAGCAAAACAGTGCCTCTTTTTAACTTCTGGATTGTCATGAGGTACTGAATTATTGGGCAATAATGTCAATAATGAATTGACATTAATTTAACATTTACTTATACTTGCTCTGACTAGGACACATCTATAGTCTCAAGATACTTACACGACTTGAAGGTGGAAAAGGAGCTGAAAGCAACTAATACAATAAAGTTATGACCTTTAATCCCAGTACAGAGGCAGGTGATCTCCGAGTTCAAGGCCAACCTGGTCCACAGAGCAAGTTCCAAGACAGCCAGGGCTACCCAGGGACACTCTGCCTTGAAAAACAAGCAAACAAACAAACAAACCAACCAACCAATAAAGTCATATGCGTGGTACAATCTACAGGTTGATCACATACATGGAGAGGGAGGGTCCCTATTAGTATCTTGGAGTGTGGACTGGAGGGAACAGATCTCTCTCTCTCTCTCTCTCTCTCTCTCTCTCTCTCTCTCTCTCTCTCAAA